TGCCTTTTTGTGTGAGCCATTTAACTCAAAATGTTAATAAAGTTAAATAACTTCCACTGCCTGCTTGAATGTGTGGCTTTCAGACCTTCTCTAATCTCTCTCTTCCTGTCTTTATAGTTAGGAAATTTAGTGTAAATAACCTGATTGTTTTGAACTCATTTTAGTCTTTGAGTAAAGTGCTCTTCATTTAAATTAAAATGAACTTGGCAAGTTTCTGTATCTGTGAAGCTTTACCAAAAAAAAAAAAAACAACCTAGGCCTGTCTGGTTTAGTCATCTATGATGTGTGTAATTGCAAATTGGAAACTGGCTTTTTCTTTTGTTGGAGCGAAAAAATTAGTTACCTATTATGCAGGTGGAATTTTATCTTGATACAATAAGTTTTAAAACTTACTTGAATATTTGTAGTATGTTTTTAGAAGTTGGTATGATGTGTTTATCTCCTTAATATTAGACAGGATAGAGCAAATAGAACAAAACTAGAAATTTTGTGAATTGAGGTTTTAATTATTGCTTAGAATGATTAAATAAACATGTAATCAACTTCAGGAGTTTATTTTGCAAGCTGTTGAGCCAAAAACTTAAAAGGATTTAAAAAAAGGACTGATAACTTCTAGAGTAGTGATACAGTAGCTCTCACATCCTGAAGGCTAAGTTTGGGGAAGAACCTGGGATATAGAGTAACTTTTGAAAATGGTACAGGTACAGTATCTCTTGTGCTTTCAAGCAAAATCTCTAGCATCGGCTGCTGGTTTTAGATATATTTGTTGTTATCTGATATGAAAAAAATCCTGTTTTTATTATCAGTGAACTTTGTTTCTTTTCTGTTTGAATACTAGAATATTTCAGTTAAAACATGTTATTTTTAGAATCAGCTTGAGAGGGTTTTTTTCTTGTGATTGTAGCCTTTTCTTGCATCAGTTTTAAGATATGAGAAGTCGGTAAGGATGAGCTGAATGTCAATAAGCAAGCCTTTTGAACTTCTTTTTTTTCGAGCAGATGGACACCCAGTAATGGCAGCCGGTAGCCCAATTGGACACATTGCTTTGTGGGATCTAGAAGAGAAGAAACTAATGTGTCAGATGCAAGATGCCCATTCCACAGCAATAGCTGGTATGTCGTTTGTCCCTGGAGAGCCACTTCTTATTACTAATGGTGCTGATAATGCTCTACGGGTAAGTTACAATAGCTGCTGCTACCTGCTGTTACGTGTTTTTTTCTCTTGTAGTCCTCCAAAATGTAAATGTTTAGTATGAAGTAGTGGTTCTCAAATGAAACAAATATGACAAACCTCAGGTTACTGGCTCTCAGTTGATCTGCAGTGGGGCAGTTTAAGAATTTGCTACCATGATGTCATTGCTTCATTTATCGCTTCATGATAGCCTTGAAGAACAAAGCTTTGGATCCACTTTTCCAGAACCACACTTTATATCCTGGTGCACTGTCTTAAATCTTGATCTTTTATAATGTTCTGGGTCGTGAGCAGCTGCTGTTGATAAAAGTCGCTAGATGCCGTTAGTCCTTGGTGGAGGGGCAGAACGAACAACGGGAAACAATCAGCTGCCGTGGTGGAAACTTTCAGAGTTTTAGGATCAAGGATGAAAGCCAATGTGTGAAGTTTGCTGCATGAGCTCCCAGCTAAGCCTGTTTCACTGCTAAGAGGTGCAATTATTGGCAGGGCAATCTTTCAGCATTGTTTTTCTGCTTTTTTTTGGGAGGCAGGTGTGGATTTTTGATGGACCTGGTGGTACAGGACGTGTATTGAGAAGCCGAATGGGACATAGTGCACCACCAACAAAAATCAGATATCATGGGCAAAATGGAGAGCAAATTCTTAGTGCAGGTATGAATTCTCATTCTTATTTTTCAGTCTGATTTCTTGCTGTGGTAAAGAAAACATGCAGTGCTAAGTGTCTTTGTTTTATTAATACAATAGATTATATTTCATGTGTTATGTATGTGTATTTAAGAAACATATTAGGTCATTAGTGTAGACAGTATCATTTATTACCGTATCAAACTGTTTCATGGTTTCCCTAGAGGAACATGTATCAGTGGGTAGGCTGAAAAGTAGTTACAAAGAGAAAAGCTTAGAGGTTACTTTTGTCATCTGTGTTTGTATGTTTGATGAGTAAAAATGGTTTCATTATCTCCTCAGGAACTATCAGCTAGTAAAAATGAAAACCTGTAACAACTAGGGAAATTCTTTTATGACAGGGGAAAAAATAAGCAGCACAATGCATTTAGTAACTTAGAGGAGCCACTCCACTTTTCCCACTAGTTTGAGCAGGCTCTGTGTGGGTTGCAATGTCTTTGTAATTTGTTACAGCTCAATTGTGTGTGTAATATATATTCCCCAAGATATTAATCTAAAAGTGTAAAAATGGGTAAGTGACTAGCCTTCCTTAGAAACTAGCACGTTTAAAAACCTATAAATAGACCCCTTAGAAAATTAAGTACTAGATCAGGCTATTTTGTGGCCCAGAACACTTCAGTAGTGGAATGATTGAGACTCTTCACCTAATCTTTGATTAATCTCTGAAATAATGAAATTGTCTACAGGGGCAACATTTGAAAACATTACACTACATTTTGATGAATGGCACACTAATACACTGTGCTAAAATATGGCACACTAATATGGCACACTAATACACTGTGCTAAAACCACTTGTGCTAAAATATCTTGCTGGTCATCCAGCTAGTAACTTGGATTCAAGTAACTAGTTACTTGATAGTAATTCAGCTCACACCAGATGAACCACAGTAACAATCAAGAGTAGCTTAACAAATCCTCACATTTGCTTTTGCAGTTTACTGCTTTGTTAACTGTACTGAAACATATGGAGGGGGCACAGAGGCAAACACTAAAGTGAAAAGGGTCTCAATCTTTGGGATCTGATGTATCTGTAGTGTAAGGAGACTGACACTCTACATTCCTTTCTGAACCAGTGGTAAAACTTCTTGCAACAGAAATGAGGTAGCAGTGCTGTGGGGTGCCTTTCAAGTGCTACTGGTTTCCTTAGAATAGGCATCTCCACAGATGAACTTTGTAAAATTTCACTGATGTCACTGGCTTTCATCCTGCTTAACTTTTCTCCCGGTTCCCAGTATATATATCCTGCCTTACTTCTGTAGCATAGCAGCAGGGAAAGGTTGCTTGAATATTGTAATTGTTCCATTGTCTTTCAGATTGTTTAAGTTCACTTTGACTGATTTTCTGTTGCCTTACTTGTTCGGCCTAGTAAAAATGTTTTGTGATTCTTCAGATTTTTAAAAATCATCTCGGTGCCTTTAATTTTACATGCGTTGTGCAATTTCGTTTTCTGTTAGTTTCTGGTTCTGTCGTGTCCCCGTCTCCCCCACAAAGTGGACCTGTTTGCTAGTTTCAAATTTGAGCCTTCTGTCCCTCTATTAAATCAAATTAAATTCCTATCAGTTCAGTGAACATTGGTCACTGGATAGAGGAGGGAAGTCCCATTGGTGTCCTGGTTTACAGGAAAGATGGACAACTCAGCTTTTACCATTTTTGTTTGGGTTAGCTTACTGGCTAACTTAGGTGAGTTCTTAACCAGCCACAGCATGTGTTGGTTAGACAAAGGATAAAGAAAACAATATTGTAGTTGATGAGGGAGTATATAGGGTGATGGTAAAGCCTTGGAAATATTATGGAGGTATTTGAAGGATGTAACAGTTTATTTAAGATTTTAATCATAGAAAGCTGGGAACAGCTAGATATTGTGGTGGAGAAAGGAGCGGGACGGAGGAATTGAACATGGAGAAGATGTCCGTAAAAGAGGTGTCATTCTGATCATGTGTGGGGCAAAGTAGTAGGAATGGGATATAGGCCATAGAAAATTAGGCTCCATTAGGTCCACTGCTTATAGTGCATCTGTATTTTTTTCTTGGACCAGAATTTTTAGTAAATACTTTATTATGGTGTTTGAGGTTTCTTAGTGCTTATCTTCTGCTTTTCTTACTCAGATAGCTTATAAGGAAACAGAAAGTTGATTTTTGCCCTTCACTGCTCTCTGCTAATATTTTGTCAGGTCAAGATGGAACATTGCAGTCTTTTTCAACAGTGCATGAAAAGTTCAATAAAAGTTTAGGACGTGGTAAGTATTTAAATGAAAGTAGAAATATCAGTGAAAAAAGCCCTGAAAAGTATTTATGTAAACAGGAGCTAAAACATTAGGTAGGTCTTATTTTCACTTTAACTGTTGTATGAGAACTATTCACCTCAGTTGTTCTGCAAACTCAGTCCTTCCTGATGTATATAAAGTGTAGTCTCAATTTGTTTGTACTTAAGGAAAGTAATTTCTGTACCCTGGCTGTGTACGTTATTTCACTGTGGGAAACATTGGGCACGATTTTTGTGTTAATTTGTATTTCTTGACTTTAGTTCCTTTGGTTTAATGTAGAGTTTAATTTAAAAAACATATCTTCCACACAGTGCCATGGTTAAGGGGCACTTTCTTCTACAGTTCAGAGAGCTAGGCTCAGAAAGACTAAAATAATACCTACTTTTAAGTATCTGTATCTATGTATTGATATATATCTATTTAGATAGATTTGAATAGACAGATGTAGATTAATTGATTAGATATATATCCTTTGGGCATAAATTTGAAATTCCTGATTCTTTGGTTACTGAAAGAGGTGGGTGTTATATATTGCTTTATATAGTCATTTTGGTATGACCATGGTTTTAGCTGCGATGGGGGCACCTGTGCCTCAGGATGTCAGCACAAGATCCTGGAACAAATAGGTTGAGTAGTACATCTGTGAATGTAATAGGCTAGTAATTTGCTCAGCAACACATGAATTTTGACAGGAACTCTATTAATGTTCTTAGCTCTTCAAACCCTAGGTAACAGCAATGCTGTGTTAATGTAAGCCAAATTTTTCTGAGTTTAACTTTTAGTAAATAATCCCTTTTAAACTATTATTCTCAGATGTAGCCCTGAGACTGAGACACTTAACTTCTTTTTTTTAAGGTTCAATTAACAAAAAGAAATCAAAAAAGAAAGGTCTTAAGCTTGATACGATGGCACTTCCACCAATTACAGTCTTTGCTTCAGGTAAGTAGTCTTTGAGATACATTACAGAGCTCATGGTGTCTTCATTTTGTCTTTTAACCCTCAAGACGCTACTGTTTTGAAAGCCCATGCTGTATCAAGATGAGATTATTGAGATTCTATGGCCCTTTGTGAGCTGTTGAGTGACGGTTTAAAATGACATTTTGCTTGGTAAACTTTTCTATTATTTCGGAAAAGAGCATTTTATTTCAAACGTCTTTATGTTTAACTGGCTCTTGGCTTGAAAATCTCCAGCCAGAGGGAGCCAGAATCTTCTGGTGTACATATTATTCCAGGCTGGAGAACCAGCAATTAGGGGGAATGAAGATCTTTGTCACCTGAGGAAATCTTAGTTACAGTGGTTTATTTTGATTCCCGAATTCCTTTATTTGAGTCACTTTTCAAAGTCAAATTTCCACTACTCTGTTCATTTGTAATTCAGTAGGCAAATAGTTAACCTAACTTTTTAAGGCAGAATTGCAATTATCTTTGCTTCATCAAAATGTGTTTCTTTTAATTAATGATCTCCTCTTCAGACTTGGAAGTCTGTTTTGTCTTAAGTGTAGCTATTCTTTTGTCTTCTGAGGATGGTTGATTGTTTCATATGTTGAAAGGTTTAGATTTACAATTTTGTGTAGCCATTTGACTACATATGGTATTTATATTTGCAGACTTCAGTGATACAGACTATCTGTACATACTTGTTGCAAATATGTGTGTGTATGCATTTTTAAAATTAAAATTAGACCTGCCTGATTTATTTAAGGTAGTAGAACTACCTTAAATGTGTTTTGAAGACATAAGAAAACATTTAAGTACATTTTAATTACAGTTGTTTCTTTTTTGCTATATTGTCTTTGTTTGGTGAAGTGAACCAGTTTGTATCTGGTTGTTTGATTCTTTGAAGTTCTAGAAATAGCCAATTTCAAGTTCTCAATTTTTTTAAATATATGAATTCCAGAATAAAAACCAAACTAGTTCATTATTTAGATCCCCACATATCATATTTGACTACAAAGTTTGGATACTGAGCTTTTGAGGAATGATTTTCCTGCAAATGCAGAAAAGTCTTTTGCTATGTGAAGCAGACTTAGCTCTTAAACCCTGCTTTAGGCAGAGAGTTGTGGTCAACGGAGTTAAATC